AAGTTCTAGGAGTTGCCTTCAAGGTCACTAGGTGAACTGGGTAGAAACACAGAAGCGCAGGGCAGGCTTGGGACTACCTACCCTCTAACTCAGCACCTCATTTCTTATGCACTCTACACGTTTCTGAGTTCTATTGAACAAAAAGCTCCCCCAAGCATTGGACAATGCAAATAAGATTTCCTGTGGGGTAGAAGGACTGGGGAAGAGTGGGATGGGTTGTGGTTTCTTCTTTCTGAGACACTTGACAGCAATGCATAATGATTCCCATATCAGTTCACGCTGAAAGGCAGTTGGTACAGGGCGGGGATTCCTCCTCTTCCTTCCACAATGCTTGCCTGCAACAGGAACATATGACTTGGGCCCCCATGTGCCCAGTTCCCAGCACTCTGAAACTGATGCTCGCATATCCAGAGACAGGTTGCCAGCAGCCTGAAACTCTGAACTCCTTTCCCTTTGGATGTGGTTGAACCATTAGCCCAAAATTTCAGGGAGAAAGTGATGGGGACTTTGTAGATTTTCATTCAGCTGGGAGTCACAAAATTCTGGTTGTTTTTTTTTTTTTTTTTTTTTTTTTTACAGGGCCAGGGTATTCTCTGCCCTGTGACTTCTGTCCCTGTCTGTGGACCCAGGCACAGCAGCAGAGAGCCATGGTGTTCATGATCCTGTTCCTCCCTGCCCCGTGGTCCTCAGTCCCCCCAGTTTGAGCTCCTGGAGGACCTGTTATTTCCTGTCCATTGACTAAGCTTTCCTCCCAGAATTAATGCCATGCCATCTCTGTTGCCAGAGGTTCCAGCCTAAGATGTGCCCGTGGAGCTGTCATCTCCACTGTTTGTTGGGGAAGTCTCCCCTGTCCCCACCACATGCACAACCAGGCAGTGCATCTGGTGCTTGGAGACCCAGCTCCTACCAGGCAAGAGTACTCTGTGAGCCCAAGGCTGGTGCTATGACTCCCGTGAGTCCGGTCCTAGAACCTTAGACTACACAGTTAAGAAGGCCATGCCGCCTGCTATCTTACCTTCTCTCCTAGCTTTGCATTAGATCATTATTTCTGAAAGCAATTTGTGACATTTCTTCCCTTTGCTTCTCGCTTTGCTCCATAGAGTGTAGACCCAGGTCAGTCGTAAAGATGCTGGTATTCATTTCAGGTCCCAAGACCACTGGCCCAGGGCCTAGACCACTTTCTCTCTTGCTTAAGATTTAAAATAGTCAGGCCGGCGCCGTGGCTCAATAGGCTAATCCTCCACCATGCGGCGCCGGCACACCGGGTTCTAGTCCCGGTTGGGGCGCCGGATTCTGTCCCGGTTGCCCCTCTTCCAGGCCAGCTCTCTGCTATGGCCAGGGAGTGCAGTGGAGGATGGCCCAGGTGCTTGGGCCCTGCACCCCATGGGAGACCAGGAAAAGCACCTGGATCCTGGCTCCTGCCATCGGATCAGCGCGGTGCGCCGGCTGCAGCGGCGGCCATTGGAGGGTGAACCAACGGCAAAGGAAGACCTTTCTCTCTCTGTCTCTCTCTCTCACTGTCCACTCTGCCTGTCAAAAATTAAAAAAAAAAAAAAATTCTTAAAATAGTCAGATCGAGCTCCTGAAAACGTCTAGATCCTTTAAGGATCTGACACTGTACCAGGAAAGCATCTGCTACTGTAAATGAAAACATGTTTTGCTCCAGAACTGGGATATCTACACTGAGAATGGATAATATGGGAGCTTAAGTAGAGTGGGAAGACAAAATAATAGCGTCACCTCCCCAAACCACTGAGCCTGGTTGCAGTGATTAAATTTGGAGTGCTGAAAAGTTGAACCATTTGTTTATATATTGACTCAATCAAATTGAGAAAAAGGGTGTCAGAAATCACTTAAATAATTTACCCCTTTCTAGATCACTGAAAGGAAACTTCCCTGTACTTGGACTGTGCTTTCAGGAGGATTTTCAGAACAGTTCCATATGATGAGTGTATAAACAGCTTTGGGTGAGCTTAGCTGGGATCCTGTCTTGGCTTCCAACTCCGTCTTCCTGGATACTTGGCTTTCCTAGGGTTGCTTCTCAGGATTAAATGCGATGATATGGGCGTAAGACCAGAAAACCCAAGGGCTCAGAACACACTTTTCCTTTCCTGGAGGGCATTATTAGGCAGTGATTGTGATAAATACAATTTAAAATACAATTAATACATGATTAAAATATTTAGTATTATAGAATTAGTATATTTAGTGTTATATAAATAGTATTTGTACATATAGTACTGATAAATACTAAAAAAAAAACTTGCTTTCTGTCTGCTCTCACATGGCAGTGATTAGGACATGATCTGTGGCTTACTGTTTTAACTCAACCCTCAAAGCACATACCTGACCTCATGTGGGTTAGGCTGAGAGCAATGGTCTGTGGTTCCTTCCCGGGAAGTCTCCTGCAGTTTCCCTGGAGGAATTTCCTGTGGCCCGAAGGACCTGCTACTCCAGGCTAGGAGTTACCCATCATTGTCCTCTAGAGAAAAGTAAGCTGTTCTGGCTTTTGCAGTGCAGAGCTGATTTCTCCCAAGTACACTGGCCTGTAGAGATGCCTCTGTCCAGATTTCTGAGCCAAGAGTGATGGTCATTGTGGTGTTCCAAGCCTCTGCAGAGTTCATGAGTGATGACCAGCTGGAAGGCCGGGCTGTGTGCAGGAGACCCAGAGGAGATACCCTCAGTTCATGCATTGCCTGTGCATTCACTCACTGCCGTGGGAGCTTTGTGGGTAACACTTTCACACTTACAAATTATGAGTGGCAAGGGAGCCTCACGTACACAAAATGACCGAGTCTAGTTCCTCATGTTACTAGCTTCTGATTCTCAGCTAGCAAAGATAATTGCTCTGAAGTGATTTTCACAACCACATGGTATCTCAGTCACCCTGTGTTTTAAGAAAACACAGGCTGGGGAGAGAGAAGTCAACTAATTGCATTTAAAAGGAAACCCTGCTTGAGTTCTTTATGGTCCTATCCCAGTCCTCATCACCTGGTTTCTGCCTCTACAAGTGATAATTAGTTATGGGAAGTGGGCTGTGTGATCTCAGCCAACAGCTCTTAAAGGTTGTCTGGGCTGGAAGAAAGCCCCCCCCCCCCCCACCGTGCGGGGCTTTTGAAAGAGAGCTAAGTGTGTCACATCTCATATCCAGCTCCTCCTCCTCCCAGGTGACCTGGCCCCAGGGGGTGATGCCTTCAGAATGACCAAATGCCCACCTGCTTCACCAGTTCTGCTGGGGCGGCTTTGAGTCTTCTTCCTGAGTGGGCTACCCTGTGGCGCCTTTCATCTCTGTGCTAGAACTACTGTTTGGTTGGAGGGAAGCTGTTCCCAGTGTACTGAGAACCATTTCAATCCGAAGGGAATCTTCATGGTTAAATCTCTACCTGCCCAGAAAAGGGCTACACGGGGCAAAAGCAATGAGGGAAGTTTGACTCCAATCCAGATCACCCCAGGGTCTGTTACGTTTGGTTGGTTTTGCCTTTCACTATTCTGAGCAGGAACCTTTGAGGCCATTTTTTTCCAGGGAATGAAATCTGGTCTTTGAGTCACGGCTGTGCAAGTGATGGGGTCTCCCTCCTTGAAGCCCTTCAGAGGCTGTGCACTGATGCCATGTAATTGCTACCTGTTCCACACCCATGGGATCGGGGTGTGAGTTGAAAAGGCCTACCTCCTCCAAGTGCATCTTAACTTTAACCGATGTGATGGCTGGATGAGGCATTTTAGTTTACACAGCCCCATGCCATACCTTATCTCATTTAATTCTCTGACTATGGAGAAGACAAAGTAGGGGTTAAAATAAAGACCCCCGACTCGGAGTGCTAGTGACTTGATCCATGTCACGCAGTTGGGGTGTGGTTTCTATTGCAGTCCATCTGCTTCCTACCCCAACCCGAGGAAGTCAGAAATGGTGAAGGCTTTTCGGAGAAGACAGAGTTTATTGAACACACCCTGTGGGCATGGATGCAGGTGTAGCCCATGTTTATCCTGAAACTCTCATAGAATCAGAGTGTAGCTATGTTTTCTGAGTGGCGATCCCTTGGCAAAAAATTGCTTTTGGTGGTGATATAGTCCTGTTATCCTCAAACCTGGAGCTGCTTTTGGCTTCCTAAAGACTATGTGGCGCCTGTTGCACCATATATGTCTCAACCAGCTACCTGCTCACCATCTTATTCCCCTTCCCACAAGCTGTGGTTGAAGCCTTGGGAATGGCACAAGAGTTCTGTGGGAACACGCCATGGGTTTTCACTACGGGAGCTGCAGCTTGGAGGGTGAAATCAATGGGCGAATACTCCAGGAGGGGTGCTACGGTGTGAATATTTGTCTCCTTAAACTCAGAGCTTTGATATCCAAAGTCTTCTGTTAATGATACTGAGAGGGCAGTATGATGTTTGGAGGTTGGGGCCTTTGGGAGGTGATTTGACAGTACTGGGCTATTAGAGTGGGACCTCCATGATAAATCCTGGTGGCCTTCCGAGACCACAGAGACACAGGCAGACAAGTGCACACCCTTGGTTGCCAAGTGAGACTTTGCACTGCCTTCAGAGGATGCCATCCCCAGAGGTCACACCTATGCAGCCTGCCTGATCTTGGACTGGGAACTAACCCAGGAGTCAAAGTGAGTCACTTTCCATTAGTCAGCCTGCCTAGGGTACTTTGTTAAGGTCACGAGAAGTTGCCTAACACATGAGGCCCAGGGCAAGTTGGACATCCCACACTCCTCCTAAAATGGCATTCAGCACTCAGCCTCTGCCGATGGCTGCGACATTTTCAGTAGATTTCAGGGTCTTGACATGCATCCCCAAAAGAATCCGCAATTCTATAATTTTCTATAAATGCTCCTGATTGGATTGTTAAATATTAACATCTGATTCCAATATTAAAAATCACTGCAGGCTCAATATAAACAAATACAAAAGCAAACCAAACCCGTGAGTCTCATTTGCAACCTGCCATCTTTATAACTAAATGGGTATCTTTAGAAGTGCACCAGGACATAGAGATATGGACAGAAGCATCTTTATTTTCCAAAGATTCCTGCCTCTTTTCCATCACTAAGGCAGAGCAGAGAGATACAAGGGACTAGTCAACTGTTGGACCAGTGTGTGCATACACAGAGCCTCCAGACTGACATTCGGCACGGCGATTCCAGTGTCTGCGTCTCCTTTTCTTGCAGTTCTCCTCTCCCTTCCTGTCTCTTGCCTGATGGTTGAGAGCTATGTGCACAGCCCTGCCCAGGGCACTCAGATTGCAGTCTGGGCCAGGGGCCATGTGCAGACCCTAACACCATGCTTGCCTGTCTCTTCTAAGAAAGCATATTGAAGTCTAAATAAGCAAAAATGCTAAAAATATCAGCATCTTCCACTGATTTATTTTTTTAAAGTAAATTCATAGCAAGCACTGGTATGTCACCTATCATTAGTAATGGCTCACAACTCACAAATGTCGGCACAACAAGGTTTAGAACTGTTTTGAAAAAAAATATATAGGGATCTTTTGCTAGGGTTCCTGAACTGACCATCACTCTCTGCTCCTGGTGCTTTTCTCCAATTGTTGACCCCTCCAGCTCAGAAACTCACCTTTAGAACTTCTGTCACAAGGATCTTAGCAATGGCGTTCAGAGACAGTTGGACTCTTAAGAGGATAGGTGAACTAAAAGACCATGTTCTCTAAAGAAGTTGGTGAGTTAACCCACACATCCTCACGTCTCTAACTGGCAGCAGGGAGTCCCTTCTTAACCTGCTGTTGGAGGACTTTCAGCCAAAGCCTGCCTAACAGCAGACTGAGAAGAAAAGCGTCCCTATGTTATCCAGGTCCCTCGCTCCGTGAATTGGTCCAGAAGACGCAGAAACTGAATATGACAGCTTTCCATGCTACCACCTAATTTAGACCGATCTGTTTCATTTATGCTGTGTCGGGAAATGAAAATTCAAGAAGTCAGAATAGAAACAAGACTCAAGGAAGTAAAGCGATACAAGTTGGTGACTGGCAATCTGGTGTCAGATGTCTCCTGGGGAAGAGGCGTCTGGATCTTGAAGTCTGACTAGCACAGAATGAGAGCAGGAACAAGTCTATTTTTTCTCTAGGTCACCGTAGGGAACCAATCTAACCTATTTACATGGGGTCTTGGGGGAAAGATCTTTAAATAGCTATCTTGTCACCTTCCTTTTCATCATCTTCCACGATCACTTTGGGTCTCTCGTCCCTGAGCGGCCTCACACCTGCAAAACAAAGCACAGGCCTGCAATTAAGTGCCTCTAATTAAAGCAGTAGACTGCAAGGCAGCATAGACACAGTACACAGGAGCTGGGTGGCCTTCTTTGACTTTCCCCAGAGGTGCTTGTTGGGGACAATGTCCTGGGTCCAAGATGACGCACACACTGGGAGCCAGGGAACCTTCCCCTCTTCTCTGTGGGTGTTCTGCTCTGGAGCTGACATCATGCTGGGATGGGAAGCAGGCTGGTATGGCATCTGAGGCTTGGGCTTCCAGGTCAGCCTCTCTGTCTCTCTCTCTCTGTCTCTCTCTCTCTCTCTCTCTGTCTCTCTCTCTCTCTCTCTCTCTCTCTCTCTCTCTCGTGTGTTTTGGGCCAGTTAACAGCTTCACACCTAAGTTTTCTCATGTAAAATGAGGGCACCACTGCTCATTGTAAAGGGCTGTGTGACAATTAAGCAAGATGCTTGCAACCAGCCACATGTGTGAACACCTACATGTGGGTTTTTCTTTCCTTTCACAGTTTGCAAGCTAATTTTCCTTTTGAAAAGAACCGGTCAGCTCCACAATCGAAAAGCATTTTACTAACAGCTGTGGAAAATATTAAGTTGAAGCTGGGGACTTGCTGTTTTCAAATGTTAGTACCTGTGGATGACAAAGTTCATGGGAGTCAGGGCAAAACGAGAAAGTAAGGAAAGAGTAGGGAGGTTTTCATATGGCTGTATGGACACAATTTTAAAAGTTTTTTTTTTTAATTTTCAGATGATTTTTTTCCTTCTTTGGAGGATTCAAATATCTTTTCTTTCCTGAAGATTGAGATATTCAATGGTTTTCTGTTTAGCATCCTCACTAGGCAAAATGAAATGTTCTTGTCCCTGTTGGCCTGCCACTGTGTTTCTAAAGTTCCAAAACCGGTTTCCATGTATAGAAAGTTTATATATTCAGTTTAGGGAAAGCTTGAGAGATTTTTTCCATTTATATTATCATATGTTCTGCATATTATAAGTTCTGAGTATATAGCATTGAGTTAACTAATACCCTGCTCATCTTTCCAAACATAATTACTAGGGTCTGTTGTTGGTAGTGCTATGGTGGGTTTGGATTTTTCATTTTGTTTTTAAAATCTTTCTTAGATAAAGAGACCAACAGACCAGCATGAGAATTTTTGTCTTTCCTAACATAGAGTAATTGCTCTGATATTAGCTTGTCTTTATTGTCTCTATTCCCAGATGTTTTTATTATATGTGTGTATGTATACTATATTATAAACTACTCCAAAATTTTTTTTTAAAGTTTACTATGTGAAATTCAGAAATCTGAACACAATTTTCTGAGTTGATCAGCCATGGTGGTTCTGGGTGGTGGGTGGGTGAGTCTTGTCCATCCTGGAAAGTGTAAAGTGAGTCGTTTTAATAAAAAGACAAAGGAAGCTATGATTCCAATCTGGTCCCCCATGATTCCTCTCATCTCACTGCAGCCAGCCAGTTTTGTCTCCCCCTCCCTCCGCCTTTCTCATAATTAGAGACCCTTCAGTACATGAAGCATTTCACAGAGATCTAAATGGGGCGGGGGTGTGGGTGGGGGAGAGAAGCTGTGCACCACAAGAGGCCTGTCTAGGACACTGGACTCCATTCAACAGCAGCAAATTAGTGAAAACTAAGCGTTGAGCATAATGACTATTCATTTGATTCAGTTCCTAGTTTATTCAGATGGATTCTCTACCAATTAACTGATATTTATTAGAGGAGAAAAACAATTTCAAGAGTCTGGCTGGAATGAAGGCTTTTGCATAAATCACTTATGAAACACAGTGAGAGACATTTTCTCTTATAGCAGCTGCATAGAGGTGTGGGTTTTTATTTGAAATTAAGGCTAACATAACATGGACATAGCTCTGCTGTGACCACACATTTTCATTTTCTATCCATCTTCTCTTTATTTCTTTACATGAAGTCAAGTTTGGGTTGGTTCCACAATATGGGCAAGGCTCTTAATTCCCAAAACCTGGTCAACTTTAGTTACTCTGAGTATCCTTAAAACCTACTTGTGTGAGAATCTGCCCCTCCGCCAACCTCACACAAATACTGTAAAAGTCCTAGAATTTCAGAAATTGGAGGAGTCTGTTAAACTATCAGGTCCAGCGCTTCCCAAAGTGGACTGGGCTATCCACAGGGGCACAGCAAAGTGAATAGCATCCTATGTTAATATGCTTGGCATTAATTTTAATGTCTTATAAAAAATATATGTGGGAGGCTCATCAAAATCTTCATTTCATGTATATCATTGCTTAGGGTAAGCCTGCACTTGGGATGTCAATGTTCTTGATGCACTGGTGACTAGAAGACGACCCAGGTTCAAAAAATACTGGTCTGGTTTGCTCTCTGGATCTTCCTGTTCTTCTGGGGAAAATGAAGAAATGTAGACTCCAGAGCCAAAAAGCTTTGCCTTTTATGACCACCCAGTGTTGACCACGTCGCTTAACCTATCTGATCCTATTTATTCACATCTAAAACTGAAGAAAAGTAATTTGTCTCTCCTATGGGGTGAGATGAGGAGATAGACTTAGGCCCACGTATCTCTTATGCTCCAGCCAGGTTCAGAACACGAAGTTGTGATAAGTCACTTTTTACATGGCAGGCATAATTGGCTAATACGTCTCTCTCCCTATGAGGTCCTAAAGGGATATGACGACATCTGGCACAAGACTTGGACTACAGCAGGCATTGAGCAAATGTCAGTTCCTCCCTTTCTCCTTCCTTCTATACAGGAGAGTGTAGGGAACTTGGCTGCGGGTAAGATCCTGGTGCCAGTCCCTGTTCTCTCAGGGCCAATCTTCCCTGCAGCAGGCTGCTTTAGAACAAGCAGAATCTACCCACAGCACCACCTAAACAGGTCATCTGCATCACAGATCTGTTCTCTGGCAGGCAGGAGCCAGGCTGAGGGCATCGCCTGTCCTAATAAACCACACCAGGGACAAAGCTCTACCCTCAGAAGGATGGGAGAGGTGTCATTTGCAAAGGACACATTGATCCTTTGACAAACTGCTCAAATGCTTAGAACTCATGGACCAGAGATCCAGGAGATTTTTCTTTTCAATGCTTCTGGTTTCATTAGCCTTTTTTCTTTGCTTGGCTCCTTGTGCCAATGACTTCAACTCAACATTATTTCTCTCTTAAACGCTCCTTGACTACCCAGATCTGTGCAATGACAAGCAATGCTCCCTGCCATGCAGTCACCAAGTTGGGGCCCCTGGCAACTGTGGATCAGGTTGGGAGCAAGCCTGGGGCTGGCAAGGATGGCGGAGATGACTCCCCACTGAAGGGCTGTTTGGCAGTTGGAACATGTCAAGTCAGCTCATTAACCTAGGGAGAATGAAGATAGTTATTAAGAGATGGAAAAGAGAGTGAATCTTTGTCCAGTTTTCACTTGCCAGGGGCTAATGAGAGGGGATGTCTCCAGGGTGCTTTTGTCTGTGAGTTGCTCTCATCACCCTATTGGAAACAAGTGTGAGTCGTTCTGAACATCTGTCAAAGGCTCTATCCTTATCAATTTAACTAGCATTTCGGTTACTGCCAAATCTTTAGATACTGAAAGCCTCTTCAGAAATAAAGTACTTCAGCTAATATGCTAATAAAAGCTAGAATCATACAACAATATCTGTAATTGCACTCAGTTATGACAGAGACTTGCTGATCGAAGAAATTCCATAATGTCTGTAGAGTGTGGATATACAGTGCCCTCCCCCCACCCCCCAGTTCCTGTTTACTCTGCAGTTTGAGAGACATTTTTCATTCAAAAGCAAAGCTGCTCTCTGAGGATGGAGGGATTGAGATGTAGCTAGTATCCATTGCCAGATGAACAGAATTTAATATTTTATGAAGTTCCTTGAGTCAGCAGATTTCTATGAAAAGAAACAGTGTGGTAGAATTGTTACCTTCTGAAAAGGTTTGACTAATTCAGAGTAGAAGCTTGACCAGCCCACAGAGGGGCGCTAACATTCACTGAGGTCTTTCAGCTTGCCAGAACTCTGCTACGCACTTCATGTACTTGACTGAGTTGTGCTGACAACCTTTTCAGACAGATTTTGTGGTTCCCCTTTCAGGGATGGATCGAATGAAGGAGGCTCTGACAGTTTAAGTTAATGGTCCTGGGTCACAAAGGAAGTATGGAGCAGAACCAAGATGAAAACTATATAGTTCTGACTCCAGAGTTCAGTTCAAGCTTTTGTTCCAGCGTGACTTCCTGATCGTTACCCGTTACCTCCTTTTTTTTTTTTTCTCGCTCTACCACGTCTTCCCCTAGTAGGCCTTCAACAGAAACAGATACAGGAATGAACAGAAAGCAGTCAGTTTCCAGGCTGTGACTGCTAAATAGAAAATGAACTCGACAGACACTGGGCACTGCTTTATAGAAAGGACTGGACTAGACAGCAGCGCCAATGCCAGAAGCATAAGGCACTCACAACCCAATCCTCATGAATTTATCGCACAACTTATTGATGTAAGTTAATTTAAATAACAGCTACAAAAGCAGCAACAAGTATAACAGAGTTGACAGTGCCATGGGTATTTGCATGCCTGTGACTAATGAGAGCATTGGAGGTTCCGTGTAGGTGGGAATGCATGCAACCTGTGAGAAACGTGGCCAAGGCAGGTTCAGACCTTGCTGCTTGTTCCTCAGTCCATTTCCCCAGAAAATGATCTCCTAATGCTCCCTGCCACCCTTCCTGGCTCTGCTCCTGACTTGCAAACCAGAGAGCCTGTGATCCTGTTTATGCCTCCTTCCTTCTTTGACTTGGGGACAGCAATCCTTAGAGGCAAAATAAAAAAGCAAAGGCAAAAAGTAGATTCAAGTTTTAGACAATTCTAAGGCAACATTTCCCTTATTATAGAATGAAGAGACTAATAGGCAGGAAAAAATTCTGTGGAAAACACATCAAAGTCTCTAGACCTGGTTTATACAAAGTCAAAGGGGCTCCTTTGCTGCAGGATGTCTCAGAGATTTGATGATTCAGTTCACATTATAACCCTCTACTGTGAAAATATCGCCCTGTTACAAGGTCTTCAGTTGAGAAACCGCTGGAACTAACAACTGAATATTGGCTATCACTTTAAGTCAATTATACCAAGATACCTGGACCTCTTTTCCAATAGCAAGACTACCCTGGAAAAAAAGTGGAATATTCTCAAAGAATCTGCTTCGGAAGTCCTTTTACTGGGAGATCATGTGGGCTTGCTCCTGTTAAAATGGGAGAGCAGCTTTGTACTACACGTCCCATGTGAGGCAGGGGAGCTGTGACTAGCCATGTCTGACATGTAACCACCAAAGCTCATCTTTTCCCAAAAGTGCTCCTTCTAGATTCCTATAATGCTGGAAGTCCAAACCACAACAAGGAACTCAGGATCTCTCTCTCTGTCTCTCTCTCTCTGTCTCTCTCACACACACACACACACATACACACACCCCGGGTGAAATGATGAGAGTGCCTGCCTTGATCCCCAGCTTGCACAAAAGCTTCTCAGGGACAAGCTCTGCCTCACTCATTGGTCCCGTATACCCTGGAATTGTGTATAAAGTTCAGTAAGTTTTTGTCTATTTGGTTGATTTGGCACCTATTACGATAGCTGTCAAAATTTCAATGCCTCTCTCTCCCTTCCCCTCCACTCCTTTTTGGGGTTTTGGTCAGTTTGTCCTGGCATGGGAGAATTGACCATCAGCCCTGGGATGCATAACTCACAGAAGCCTGGGGAAGACGGCATTTCCTCTCTTCTCAAGAGCCCACAGACACTCCTGTTTCACTGGCTCAGCGCATTTGACCAGCTCTCTGAAGCAGCAGTAATGCTCTAACTCCCCAGTCCTCAGGTCAGACTCTGGGGAGCTGCCCACAACAATACAAGATAAACCTGAAAGGCAGCGAGACACATGCTTCCTGCAAAGGGGGCTGGGGCCCAACACAGCTTCTCGGGCCAGGACAGAGGCTGTGTCCCTGGCACCGCCAGATGGTAAAGCTTCCAACCTGCTCCCACCACCCACCCCTTGCAAACACCCAACACCAGCTCTTTACCTGACTCAAAGGGAGACGTGTGCAGGGCAGGTGTGTCTTTTCTCCTTGGTTTTTGCTGTTCTAGGTCAGTATTATGAAGATCTGGGTCCACTTTACCCTTTGGATGTCTCTCTTGAAGATCGTATCTTCGGATTGAGTTTTCAGAAATCACACCTGCAGTGTTTGGAGAGCAGAGAAAGAAATGAGGTCAAATACACGTGCAGTATTATTTGTACATAAATACTTGTACATGGAGCTGGTGGAACCAGTCAACAATTTTCAAGCTTATTTTAATAAAGTTTCTTTTTAGGAAGAATATTTTTTATTGATGCTACATCAGGGAAATCCTCTGTACAAAGGGTTTTACATGGCTGATTTCATTTTAGTCTAACAAAACTGAGGAATTCAATATTCCTCTTGCCACCACCCATCTAAGGAAAGTTAGGCAAAGAAGTGTGCCCACTTGCACTCAGTGGTATCAGCCAGTTCTGAGTTTATCTGCCCACAAAGTCCATTCTCTTTAGCCTGAAAGGGCCTCTTGCTGTTCTGCAAACTATGAGCTGCACACTGTACCCCGATATCTTCATCATTATTCTACCTCCACCCACTTCACCCACCTGCCTCTTGTCTCTATTTCCCAGGTAAAATTTTTCTCTATCATCTAATGAGTCTTTATAAACAGCCTCTTTAAATTTTTCCATAATTTACTACTCAAACTGAGCCCTTGTGGTCCTTGTCTAAGGATCCCCATTTTGATATTGCTTCTTTTTTGCATATTTAGCTACTTACACACTACTGGTCTTTCTTATAAATCTGGAAGTTCCTCCCCAGAAAGATCTATGTTCCATCTGTTTGGTGTCCCTCAAAGTATATTTTAAACAGAGAACATAAAGGAAGTGCCCAGGAGGGAAGGAAAATGAGATGCAACCTCTGAGAATTCAGAACATCACAGATCACATCCAAGGGTGTTGTACAGATAGAGTAGCAGTTCACCCAACTATTTTGCTTTTCTTCTGGGCAGAGAGCTGGGCCATGCTTCCCAGTCTCCTTGCAGTTGTGTGAGGCCTTGTGTTTGATGGAGGTCTGGCCTTCACAAGCCTCCCTGTCAGTCTTCAATTCTCTCTACCACCTGTACCTGCTGGTTACTGATATTCGTGGTGACGTTGCTCACCACGCATGGTTGATGGCAGAATTGCCACTAGCCTGGGCTCGTGAATTACTGTGCGAAGCCGAGTTTGCCTCTTGCACCCCCAGCTTCCATTACTGGTGAGTGGAAAAATATTGTATTACATTTCAAATGTTGTTTTTGGGGCCAGTGCTGTGGCATAATAGGCTAAGGCTCCGCCTGCAGTGCCAGCATCCCATATGGACACTGGTTCATGTTCTGGCTGCTCCTCTTCCAATCCAGCTCTCTGCTATGGCCTGGAAAGCAATAGAAGATGGCCCAAGTGCTTAGGCCCCTGCATCCACCTGGAAGACCAAGAGAAAGCTCCTGGCTCCTGGCTTCAGGTTGGCCCAGCTCTGGCTATTGTGGCCATTTGGGGAGTGAACCAGCAGATGGAAGACCTGTCTCTCTGTCTGTCTCTCTCTAACTCTACCTCTCAAATAAATAAATAAAATCTTTTTAAAAATATTGTTTTCATTAAGATGTTAATATTTTAAAATGTGAATAACTAAATATTTAAACAAATATTTGTAAGGCCAATAAGATTCAGAATCATATTTTTCCCTTTCAGAGCTAATGCAAACTGACCTTGTTGTTGATTACCTGGTATAAAGGGCGGGATGTGCAGCGCTGGTGTATCTTTCCTCCGTGGTTTTTTTTGATCTGACTCAACATTTAGGGTTGTCTGTCCATTCTTCCCCTTTCTTGGCTTCTTGAGATCACAGTCCTTGATGAACTGGTCGGAAAGGTCATCTGATTTGGACAAAGAAAACAAGAATATATCATGAGTAAGGGTCCAGACACGAACAGGTCAATTTCCAGTTACACCTGATGGTAAGGGAAGAGGCCATTTGGTCTAAAAAAATTAAAGTGTTTATTTTGCCTTTTTCTACAGAGGACTTTTGTACCCTTGCATGATTACATGAGATAAAATGGAAAACTAGAATTCTATAAAGTAGCAAGTTAAGGGAACTCAAATGGTGGACCATCAAAATGAAGAGGAACTTAAAGCCATCATCAGGCAAGCCACAGAATGTGAATGAACTAACTGTCTGGGTAACAGCATAGAGAATCTGTTACTCTAACTTCCTTCACTCAAGGAACTTGAGTACTCTTGCAGATCCCCAGGGCCAACATGGAACCTGAAGCTCCCTTAGTCTTAAGAAGCTTCCCTGGCCGGCGCCGTGGCTCAACAGGCTAATCCTCCGCCTTGTGGCACCAGCACACCAGGTTCTAGTCCTGGTCGGGGCGCCGGATTCTGTCCTGGTTGCCCCTCTTCCAGGCCAGCTCTCTGCTGTGGCCCGGGAGTGCAGTGGAGGATGGCCCAAGTGCTTGGGCTCTGCACCCGCATGGGAGACCAGGAGAAGCACCTGGCTCCTGGCTTTGGATCAGCGCGGTGCGCTGGCCGCAGTGCGCCGGCTGCAACCGCCATTGGAGGGTGAACCAATGGCAAAGGAAGACCTTTCTCTCCCTTTCTCTCTGTCTCTCTCTCTCACTGTCCACTCTGCCTGTCAAAAAATAATAAAAAAAAACCCTTGTCTAAATAAGATAAGAGTCGGAGAACTCAAAAGGCTTCCATAGCCTTGGAAACTCATGACTGGAGCATAGGGAGATTACTGATGCCATAGACAGGAGTGTCAATTTGTAAAGTCAACAACAGGAGTCACTGTGCACTTACTCCTCATGTAGGATCTCTGTCCTTAATGTGCTGTATATTGAGATTTAATGCTATAACGAGTACTCAAACAGTATTTTTCACTTTGTTCTCTATGTGGGTGCAAACTGTTGAAATCTGTCACTCCCCCATTCGCGGAGGAACGACACTAGACCCTGCGCTGTTCTTTTGTCTGCTCGGCCCTTCCCGGGTTTGCTGCTGGTCCTTCCCGGGTTGGCTGCCGACCCCTCCACCTCCGTGGAGGGGCAGCTCCCCCTGCCACTTTCCCCACTTCAGTGGGGGAGTGGCACACCGCTGGCCGGCTCTCTCGGGGGCTGCTCAGATGTTATCCGGATGTTCCTGGTGCGTGTTGTCTCTCTCCTCCTTTATAGTCCTCTTCCACCAATCCCAACTCTGCTACCCACATGGCGAGCACGCTGCTCTCCTCCAATCAGGAGCAGGATCAGCTCCTGCAGCTTATCAGTCAAGTTGGTGAGAGGCAGCTGCGTAGAAGTTGTTTACTCCCTTTCAGCGCCATATTGTGGGAGAGCAGATGCATAGAATAAGTCTTAATTCCAGTAACTTAGTCTAGTCCGAGTTGCTCCCCATAGAAATCTTTACTTAATGTATACTGAACTGATCTTCTGTATATATAGAAAATTGAAAATGAATCTTGATAATGAATGGAAGGGGAGAGAGAGTGGGAAAGGGGAGAGTTGCGGGTGGGAGGGAAGTCATCGGGGTGGGGGGAGCCAATGTAGTCCATAAGCTGTACTTTGGAAATCTATATTCATTAAATAAAAGTTTTAAAAAATAATAAAAAAAGATGCTTCCCTGGAGTTGACAGTGGATCCCTCTCTTGCCTCCAGTTCTCTGGCCTGCCAAGTGCCTCTGCTGGTTCTCACTTGGGCTTCTACCTTGGCCCTTTCAATGCCACCAGGCTTTACCTGGGCTCTCAGTTGCCCATCCTAACTCAACATCTTGTCGTCTTCTTATTCTTCTCTTTACTTTTCTCAGCCTCCTGCATGGACTCACCAGAGAACTGAAGCCTGGCTTTTACTGCACACCCATCAGGTGCAGTAACAGGAATCCAACCTGCCTGCTCCTTGCCAGTGAAATCTCTCTGCTCTGTCTTGCTCCTCTATGCTTTTGTCTAGGATGCTCTCCTGTGGGCCTCTCTTCAGTTGCTCCAGAACTTTATTGTTCTATAACAACGCCTTCTTGTACATTAAAGATTTCAGTCTTTTTGTAGTTTTAGTCTCAACTGCCTTTCCTTTCAATGAATGCAGGTTGAAGAAATTGGGCTTTAATTTCTAGAAATTTTAGTATTTTCAGTGATTTAAATGGGAATAATATTAAATAACAGTACATGTGTGTGAGAGAACTAATTTTATAAATGTTTACAAAATGCCTGATAGATCTGATAGATTTCAAAGAATGTTTGCTGTGCCATTGGCAACCCTCTAACCTCCCACTCATCCCAGAGGAAAGCCCCCATTTTTGTCAGTCTTTTGAACACCAGTCCTGGGCATCCTTTCTCAGTTTCTAAATATCCATAGCATTTTTGCTCAGGTAACACCTATAAAAGATGATCTGAGATTATTATTTCTGTACATTTGTTCTTTGCCCTCTTTAATGACAAACATTTTGTCATTTATGTCCTCAGTAGCACTGAATAAGTATTTGTTCTATATGTGTTTGAATGAGTGGACTCAAATATATTTAGTATCAGGAACTATTCTGATAGAATGAAAGAACCCACAAGACAATGGAGCTATCTTCTCTGGAATGACTGTGGACTGACATAGTCTAGCAAGGCTTACAAATATGAATGAAGATGGGGAAACTTAAGGATAATTTGACCTTTCCCTTCGGTTCCTCCCTCTCTTTTTGCTTTTCCAACGTGTTTCTTCTCCTTCCTTCCTCCCTGCCCCTGTTTCCATCTCTCTTCCTTTTCTGAAATATTCAGGTATATTTCTTTACAATATTGAAGATTAAGTGTGACAACCACTTTGACATAAGTTTTGAGGGTCTAGGCACAAAGTGTTTCATTCTTTCATTGATTCAGGGGCAGGGAATATAGGCTGTATAAGGCCTGTGAAATCGTTTGCTCTGTCCCTGCCAAGGTAAACACAGGCAGGACTCAAAATTCAATAAATCTATAGCAGGCTAATTTTTAAACTGATGATTTTGTATGGCCTGTGAATGATGTAATGCATATCCAAATGGCCCTTGGCAGAAAAAAGGTTTCCCACCAGCTACTGAACAAATGTTTATTTAAGCTTTGTTCCAAGACTTGTTATGCTAGATTCTAGAAATACAAAGTAAGAAATGGTTCTTGCCTTCAAATTCCTCATGGGCCTTTAGACTTTACATCTGGAAGACCTTTTGTTAAAAAAAAAAATCACTCTGCATAAGGAACCTATCAGAAACATTTAGTATCTGTTTATTATTAAGACTGTATCATCTCAAGAACATTATACATAACCAAAACAAAAATATCACTCTTTTCAGCCATATTTCATAGCAATAAATAATTTCTTTTGCCTAGAAGATTTTAATAATTTCATCCAATCATCTCAATTTCATAAGCATTACTGAGGTCACATTATGTCTAAGTCACCAGACTGGGATATGCTAAGTCTATAAACACAAAGAGGAGGTAAGAGGGGGACTTTGCTGGGTATGAATGAGGTGATTTCACATCATTTCTATCTGTGGGATGGACTAAAACCTGCGTGATTACTCAATACTAGTGCTTCCCAGTGCTTAAATATAAGTATAATCCCTGAGCATCTGATCTCACTGCCTTCCTACGCCAGGCCTCCAAGGCAGCATTCTCTTATAGTGATTGATTTAAAGGAGAGGAGGAAACTCAGATCTGGGAGACCAGGCTGAGCGGTACATGATTGGCAAGTAATGGGCTCAGGATCGAATCCTCAGAATTCTTCATCCTAACGCTGGCTGAAGAAGCAGTTTTTAAATTGTGTGTGTGTGTGAGAAAGAGAGAGACGTAACACAGTTACTCCCCTCTACATGATACACATCACAACCATTTGCAAACTGAATGAATGGGTATTGCCTAGAAGGGGTGCGGCCTTGCTGTGGGAACCTCTGGAGGTAAAGACTGGACGTGGACCTGTCGCAGGCCACTCCTTTACCCCAAGGTAACACTCCTTGCACAGCGCAGAGAGCAAGACATTGGCTTTAATCTTGACTTTTACTTCAGTGGCACTTTTCCTCATTTCTGAAGAAATCTTTAACATAAAATATCTTGATGGCAAGTGGGGAGAGGGGAGGGGAGACAAGTCATAACCCGGGGAGGCATCCACAAAGACTATGAATATGCAAAAGGCCCATCCATCAAAAGTCTGAGTGTCTCATTTTTAGAAATGGGTAGAGGCAGAAATGTTTCTGGTATTTTCATTACAAAGGTTATGCAAAAAGTCAGTTCTGGAAAGGAAACAGATTGACAATAAAGCAGAAAAAGGCTATTTAAAATTCTGTCTTGATAGGCAAAGAGAGATATTTGAAATATTTTATTGGCAGTGTGCATGGGGTGTTAGTGTGCTGGGAAAATACTGGAAACAGGCTAAACTGTCACATTCCATTTATTGTCTCAAATGCTCTGCCTGGGACTCAGTCAGACCCCAATGAAAGACGACAACGCTCCTGCCCTGACCCTAATGAAACTGCCGCCAGTGCTTCAGCTCACACTCACACAGCAGACCCCACAGACCTTGGCTATTTGCCGGGCCATCTGGTGTTGGCTGTCACCAGAAGGCACTGGCTCTCAGGTTTCAGGGGCTTCTCTCTGACTCGCCCGCAAGCTGAGTGGTGGAGACGCCCCCTTTCTGATGTACTCTAGTGACAGTCACCATGGAGATTTACCTAAGTGGTTGCTGCAAGGGTCCAGCGTGTCCAGCCTGTCTTCTGAGAACTCCAGCGGCTGCATCTGCTCCATGGACATCATCAAAGGGCAGTGGGTGTGGTGCTTCTCCTCCAGCACTGTGGAAGAATAAAAAATAGACCATAAGCACACTTTCTGCTCACTCATTCACTTACTTATTCAGCAAATATCTCTGCAAGTTTCCTATTGGGTTCCCCAATGTAATCCTGTTTTTCACATCTGCTTTTTATGTTTAGCTACTAGAAACTCTAAAATTGATATTTAAGCAAAAGGAAAATGAATCATACAACACACACACACAGACTTATTGGTATTGTCATGTATCAAATATTTATATTTGGCCTCTTGCACAGGCACTTTGGGAGTTTCAGAATGCAAGTATGAATTAGAAATGAGTTAACTGCGTTACAGAAAATCCTAACTATACCCTACCTGTACTGTCTCCACTGAGTTCTGCAAAGATGATTATGCTGATTTTGCAGATGGGGAAACTGAGGCTCCGAGTGTTTGTTATTTAGTCTTGATCCAAATGCAGTTTTTCAGACTTCCTTTAGATACCAAGTCTCTCAAAATCAAGGTAAATTCTTTTTTTTAAAGATTTATTTATTTATTTGAAAGTTAGAGTTAGAGAGAAAGAAGGGGGGTGGTCTTCAATCCGCTGGTTCACTCCCTAACTGGCTGCAACAGCTGGAGCTGGTCCGATTTGAAGCCAGGAGCCAGGACCTTCCTCAGGGTCCTCCCACGTGGATGCAGGGGCCCAAGGACTTGGAACATCTTCTACTGCTTTCCCAGGCAACAGCAGAGAGCTGGATCAGTAGCGGAGCAGCTGAGACCTGAACCAGTGCCCGGATGGGATGCCTGCACTACAGGTGGCAGCTCTACCCGCTATACCATAGTGCTGGCCCTGAGGTAAATTCCTTGAATCCAAATTGAGCCAGGCCTCCAATCTTGTGCTATTACATTCTATAATTATAAAATGAGACTGCCTTCCCAGGCATATTACGATGGTGTGGAGATCTGGGAGGAGAAACTAGCTCTTGAATGGATCTTTATTATTTTCTCCCTAGAGCCTCCTGACAGAGAGCAAGAGCATCCCCCTCCCCCATCCCTTATCTTTCCTAGACCATAAATCCATCGAAGTGACCAGGGCTATTAGTTATAGCCGTTGTCCTGGAAGAGTACAGATCCAGAATGAACATGTGTCATGTCTGAGTGAGAAGTGCATTAGCTGAGATTTATAGAAAATCTTCATCACAGCCTGCTTCTATCATGTTTCTTGTGTTCCTTTGAAATAACTTTTGGCTCTGGTTCCTCCATAGCAAGAATGGTGGCAGAAGAATGGAAAAGGCTGAACAGACCCAGCTGATCCTCTTCTCCTGTCATTCCTGGACTCCCAGTTCACAGATGAACTTGGAGACCATCGTGCCAACATTTAGGCTCCTCGAATGACTTTAGCTCCATTGTCTTCTGAGAAATAAGCTGGTTTGCTCTGGGAAGGCTGGGGCTCTCCCCTGATGAGCTGAGCTCACGGGGTAGCAGACGGAGTCATTAACTGCTCACTTGAGCCCAGCTTTTAATGTCAGTCTGGACAGACTGATTGCCCTGAGTGACTTCAGCAGAAATCAAATCAGATCACTGTTTTTTAGGATGTGTAGAGATTGCCAGCTCCCTGGACTACTGGAAAATACACTGATCCCTTGGGTAGGTGGAGTCCAATTTTTTGCATTATCATTTTTGCTTCTGTCTTGTTACAACCTATTGCTGCTATGTCAAAATTTGCAAAGGCTAGCTTCTTTGTGGTGACCTCACAGATGGGTACCCAGGGACGAATGACCCTCTCTGGCTCCCACACTTTGTTTTCTCATCTATAAAACAGAAATAATGACACCCATCTTGTAGAGTTACTGTGAAGATGAATCCAGACAGCTGCACCCTCAGCTCATTGTGGGCACCAATCGAGTGGTTGCTATTGTTCTGTGACCTTGCCTGCACCATGCTCCAGCAGCTATACAACTGGAAAAATTTTATTTTATTTTATTTTTTTGACAGGCAGAGTGGATAGAGAGACAGAGAGAAAGGTCTTCCTTTTGCCGTTGGTTCACCCTCCAATGACCGCCGCTGCGGCCGGCGCACCACGCTGATCCGAAGGCAGGAGCCAGGTGCCTTTCCTGGTCTCCCATGGGGTGCAGGGCCCAAGCACTTGGGCCATCCTCCACTACCTTCCTGGGGCCACAGCAGAGAGCTGGCCTGGAAGAAGGGCAACCGGGAAAGAATCCGGCACCCCGACCGGGACAAGAACCCGGTGTGCTGGCGCCGCTAGGTGGAGGATTAGCCTAGTGAGCTGCGGCGCCGGTCTGGAAAACTTTTAGAAAGCAATGGAACTTTGCCTTTGTGTGCCAATACTGAGCCAGAAGAGGACCAACCTCCATCTGTGCCAAGTGCCTATGTCAGCACCAGGTGAGAGAAAGGAATGTGCCCTGGCCAAGGGATTGTGCAAGCGTCAGTTCAGTGGGTCAGAGGCTCCTGGCCAAAACTGACGGTAGCTCCTGGCATCTGTGATGGAAACAGCCCTATTTTAAATAAGTGCCATTGAACAGATGATGGTGGTGAACCAGCAGGACTGTCTGTGTGCTAGAGGCTTGAGAGATGGCTTCCAGGTCTGTGAGTTCATGTTACAAACATTCCCTTTGCTTGGCAGAAACATATTTTACCCAGGGGATTAGAAGGCAGTTTTGTCATGGATGATGTCATTACAAACTCGCCCGCGGAAAACCACCAAGGAAAGGAACATGTAGGTGGAAGGGAGAGCTCTTGTGGGTGTTGCAGTGCTATTGACAATTGCCAGTGTGCCTCCCTGGTAAATGCTGACATCTGAGCCTGCCTCTGGATCCCACCTCCTGAGGCCCTTCCACTTCTGTCCTCAGGGAGACCGGGAGATAGAGAGCCACTGTGAGACACGAGCCTGGCTAATTCCCCAACTAAGAAGCCAAATATTTCTACTTCCTATTCCTGACTCCGTCCATGCATTCCTCTTTAACTCAGTCTCCACCCAAGCAGATGCAGTAACGGGATGCTGCCAGGGGAGGTTTCGTCATCTCCCTCGGCAGCTCCCTGTCATTTGGGGACTTTCAGAGGCACCAGCTTACTCTTTTGTCCCTAAATATTTGCTCCCCTGGGTCTTCAGATTCCAACCATAGCTAGGGCTTTTGCAGTTACTTGTTGATGATACTTCCATTTGGGGCTGATCTCAAACTGTTTCCCATACAATGACTAGTGGTCCTCTCAACATTCTTTTGCCATATACTGGTTCAGTATGGTCTATAATTTTTCCCCCAGAAACCTTTTATTTAAGGAATACAAACTTCATGCATTTCATAAATACAACTTTAGGAACATAGCGATTCTTCCCATTGTACCCGCCTTCCCATCCACACTCCCACCCCTCTTCCTCCTTCCTCTCCTATTCCCATTCTTATTTTTTTTTACTAAGATCTATTTTCAATGTATTTATATGCATACAGTTGACTTTATACTAAGTAAAGAGTTCAACAAATAGTATGGAAAAAAAAAAACTATTCCTCAACAGTTGGGTCTCTAAATTTTAACACAGTGATGACTGGCACCGCCTGTGATTGCTGATATTGACACGTCCACCTTCAGCTGACAAGCCTGGAGCCCAATCTGCTAGGGGAATCGGGACATTTTATGTAACACTCCCAGAGAGACTCTCAGGGAGGACCATTAGTCACATGCATGATTTCTGCAGTGAAACCAGGAATATTCAATACTGAGGGACACAGAGAGACTACAAAAAGATTCATAGCCTTTCAGGTCAGGTTTTTCTATTAAATGAGTTTATGTTGAACTTAGCCACAACAAATCTTTTGGTTTTTAGAACTCTTCATATTTCTCAGAATAAAGGATTATGGATCTGACTTGTTTTTCTAGTTGTTGTTGGTTGAAAGGATGTGGGTGGTTGGGTGTAGCAGGTACAAGAGGTTAAGGGATATGAATTGAGTATGAGGAGGGTTTTCAGGACCCCAGGTGCTAAAATCCTGCAATGCCCTCTTACCAATCCTTACCTTCCTTTTCACAAAAGACAAAACCTTTCTTTTCACAGACACTTGTAACTGCAGATAGCACTGATGCCACAATTCACAGGGCAGGTTCATGAAAAGGTCGCCCTCCCTTTAGCGAGCAGGAACTGAAAGGGCCAAAGAGCCAGCACCAGAGAAGCTACTTGAGTCAAAGAAGGGCAGGTACCCTCGCAGCCTGGGGAAGCTGAGGGCAGTGTGTGCTAGTTTGGACTGGTTCCTGTCCCAGGAGGAGTGCAGTGTTCTCTGCAGCTGAGCAACTTCAGTCAGTCTGAGGTCAGAAGCTGATCTGGAATTTTATGTTTGAGCAGGTGTCTCCGCTGAGTGTGAGAAGGTATAGTTTACCTCCCGGGCAGCACATCCCTCACTGACTAAAAGCCTTTGATACTGGGAGGCAGAATGTGGTAAGCAACTGTTGGGCTGATTATCCCAGACTCTAGCTGAGTGAGCCTGGAAAGATTATGTGTTCTTTTGAAAACAGTTTTCACATCTGTAGGCTGGGGGGAAGGGTGGCTGTTCCCCAGGCTGAGAGTGTTAGCAGTGCAGTGTGTGTAAAGCCCCCAGCCCATGCTAACACGGTGCAGAGCAGCACTTGTCTTCCTGGCCTCCCTTGTGTTGATAATATGTGTACCAGATTGACCCATCAACCTCATCTCCTCACCCCATCTGCCTTACTCTGAAGCTAATAACTCAAAAGTCAAAGGCACAAAGCAATGAATGCAGACCATTCATCACCAGATTTTGGGGTTGCGGTAATACGGACTCCCAGGAGTGAGTCAACGCTCAGCTCAGCCGCAGAATACCCTCCAAAGGAATCCGGTCTGGATAAAGTTAGACAGCTACATCTACAGCCAATGCAGTGTCTGGATTCTATGCCCTCTGGCTGCACAGAACTCTGTGCTTTTGTCAAACTTCTTTTTAACCTGAGGATTGAATTCATGTCAAATGGTACTGCCTTTGAAGTTCAGAGTCATTCATTTAGAAGCCCAAGTTTGCACTATTGCTCAAGGAATGACTGACTCAAAGGAGGGCAGTGTTTTGGAAAAGCATCCTTTTCCCCAGGCTTTCTCTGTTGTGCATGCAGATACAGCCAGGTTCGTCTTGAAGCATCACCATCAAGTGTGTGGCTACATGGCTCGCACAGAACTCAGAATCCCCTGCCCTTGGAAAAATGATGGGGAAGTGGTGACTTTTTTCTGCTCCCTGCCTAGCTCCAGCTTAGCCTTGCTCCATAAAGCATAATCCTGGTGCCACCAGCTTTGTCCCAGACACTACAAAGAAGCTGTGACTTACTGGAGACTTGCTTTTCTCACCACAAAAGTTCTTCAAGCAAAAATCCAAAGTACTTACCAGTCTGCAGGCGCTGGGATGAGAAGGTGAGAGACAGGGAGGGCCGTTTGCTCACTGATGCTGGCCAGGCTCCTCTGCAGCAGTGGCTGCTCTGCCTGGCTCCTGCTCCTCTTATCTAGGGACCAGCTGCTGCTGTTGCCATGGGGATGCTCTGCTTCTCAGGCGCCAGGGCAAGGGGGATGGAGAGGGAAAGAGGACTAGGCTAGCTGTCACTCTCACCACGGCAATAATTGTCCATTACAGAAATACAACAGAGTCCTGCTTTGAGTTCAAATGTGCACACTGGGGAGATCCAGACAAATCAGCCACATCCTTGAATCCCCCTCACAGTCTGATGCAATAGATTTCTTGGCCTAACTTTGCAAATATGGAAACTGAGGCACAGAGAGATTAAGTGAATCGCCCAAGAGAGGCCATAGCTGATATTTACTCCAAATAGATTTGTTTCAGTGCTGAAGACTTTCACCCATCACTGCTCTTGGAGTGATGTTATGATGAGAAAATGAATAATAATGATATAAATTCTAACACTTACATAATGTTAACATGCCCACCTGCCAGGCAGGCTGTGGAATACTTTACAGGCATCAACTCATCACTCCTCCTACCAACCTTGAGAATGAGCTCCTGTCATCACCCTTGTTTAATATGAGTAAGCTGAGGCTCAGCAGTGTCAAGTCATCTTCCCAAGGTCTCCCTGCTAAAAAATGCAAGCCTAGGGTTTGAACCCAGTAATTGAATGCTAAGAGACCATGTTCTTAACCACATTGCAATACTCCTTGCCAAGATAGCCTTCCCAAAGAGCACACAGCCAAAAAAGCAGCTCCTGAATACACAGGTTGGGGTGTGGAGGCCAGGAAAAGTTTGATCCTTCAAAGGACCCAAACCATTGGGAATATACTTATACTCCATGAAAGGCTTGGGGCCAAAGGCTATGGAAGCGAGGGCAGGGGTCTGACATGGTGTCTGATGGGAAGGATCCATGGTCAACTCACTGGAGGAAACTCTGTGAGCTCAAGGTGCTGCCTGGAGAAACAGCAGTTTGTTGTCTCGGGTCTCAGCATTAAGAGCAGGGAGGATCAATACATATTGCAGGCTTGAGATTCTGGAGGGCAGTCAAGAGATCACCCAGTGATGCACCAGAGCTGTGTTTTCACAGAGAGTGTGTCATTGCAATCAGCATTGCCTTTCTTTCTCAAGGCTGCATGCAGTGCAGGGCCAAGCAGCCCCTGGTTGGCTTCAGCTACCTCCATGGGAGAGAATTGGTTGAAGCTTCCCTTCCATTTATCAGAATTTCAAGTCACAGGGCTGGAGCCATAGTGAACTCATGTTGAGAGTGACTCCTGCAGTTGGAATTTCTTCATGGTAACAAATCAATGCAGAGTGCACTTCCTTGTCTGATGTATTTGTTGGAACCTCCTGGAAGGATATGGGGACCACTCAAAGGTCATTCCCCTGGCTAGGAGGGATCCCTTGCATGCTGAGGGGACAGACCTGGAATCAACTTCTTGTTCTCAGCCACCTGTTTTGTCTTTGCATTAGCAGCCTGTTGCTAACTTGAGTAGAAAAGATACATGTTCTTCCTGAGGGCTTAAATTCTTTTTAAAATAAATATTGAGATAAGTACAGATTCACACATGGTTGCAAGAAATAACACAGAGAAAATGCTTGTACCTTTTAAGCATTTCCCCAATGTTGACATCTTGCAAAATATCAAAACCTTATACTGATCATATATGGGGGTGCTGGTGTTGTACCATGGCAGGTTAAGCTGCCACCTGCAATGCCAGCATCCCATATGGGTGCTGGTTCATGCCCTGGCTGCTCCACTTCTGATCCAGCTCCTTGTTAATTGGAAAAGCAGCAGCAGATGGTCCAAGTGTCTGGGCCCCTGCAACCCACATGGGAGACTCCTGGCTTCAGCCTGGACCAATCCTGCCATTGAAGTTATCCAGGGAGTGAACCAGCAGATGGAAAATCAATCTTTCTCTCTCTTTCTCTTCTCCCCACAATTCTGACTTTCAGACCAAAAAAAAAAATCTTAAAATAAGCAACCAGATATGGAACCTTTCCATGTCACAGGAACACTTCATCTTGCCTTTGTAGAGTCACAGCCTCTTTCCTCCTTCTGTTCCCTGCTCGCATCCACCTATCCACTCCTTAACCCATAGCAACCCTTCATCTGCTCTCCATTTCTATAATTTGTCATTTCTAAAATGTTAGGAAAGTAGAATCATACAGGATAGACATCTCTGCGTTTTTTTTTTTTTTTTTTTTACTGAGCATTATTTCCTGGGGAATCGGCCAGGTGGTTGGATTCACAGCAATGGTTGTCCCTTTTTAATGCTGAGTAGTATTCCATGGTATGTAGCACAGTTTGTTTAACCATTCACTTGTTGAAGGACATCTTGGTTGGTCTCAGTGTTTGGCTGTTGAAGAAAAAAGGCACGATGAACATTCATTTAGAGTTTTGTATGAACATAATTTTTCTGGGATAAATACCCAGAAGTACAATTGCTGGCAATAGCAGGTTTGATTTTATGATACTATCAAAGTAGCTGTCCCATTTCCATTCCCACCAGCAGTGTATGAATGGTCCAGTTTTCTCATCTCTCGACCAGCATGTGATGGAGTCACTGTCCTTTTGAAAGTCTTTCTCATAGATATGCAGCAAGATCTCATTGCGGTTTTAATTTGCATTCCCTGGATGGCCAATTATATCAAATATCTTTTATGCTTATACATAATCTATACATTTTCTTTGTGAAATGTCTCTTCAAATCTTATACCCTCTTCCTGATTGGATTTTTATTGTTGAATTTTGAATGTTCTTTATATATTTTATTTTGTAGCCTGTCTTTTCAAACTCTTAACAGAATCTTTCACAAAGCAAAGGGTTTTTTAACTTTTATGTATCCTAACTTACCATGAAAGTAATTTTCAAGCATATATTGGGATATTTCCAAAGCTTTTCAGAGGAGCTGAACTGCGTCAGTTTCTAAGCCTGTGGTTTTTAACAAACACTTTTGTCTCTTGATTTTCCACGTTTCAAAGGGAGTATTTTCAAAGAGAGAAGAGAATTTCTTGTTTCCCCTTTGGATAGACTGTGTTCTTCCCCAAGTTCCGGCTGTTGCTGTTGTGGTTGGTTTTCCCCAGTCTTTCTACGTACACTTCAATTGATGACGCCTCCACCTCCCCCCTCCACCTTTTAAAGCAGATGTAAACAGCAACGGAGATGGCAGATGGTAATGTAAATCTATACCTTGGAGAGTTCTAAATAACAGCGCATATGTGCAGTGCTGAAGTCATAGACCCTTGGCCTGCAGCACTCCCAGTGTTAGTGCAAGGAGCCATTGTGTCCAGAACATGATTTGTGGGCCCCAAAGCCCTCTGGTATATGGCTGAATCAGCTTCTGGTTTCCATCCTGATGGATGCCTAATGGTAATTAGCTTTCAATGAATGTATTTTCGTTTTATTCACAAATATCTTTATGAATGAGAATGATTATACTGATGAATGTTTCTCCATAATTTGTCAATAACCTATGAAATGTACACTTGAAGGATTTGCCTTTCAAAATAAATCCAGGGAAGTTTCTGTGTTGATGGCCAATAGGGCTCCAGCTTGAGAGAGAGAGAGAGAGAGAGAGAGAGAGAGAGGTAGGTAGGTATGTGGGGGTATGGTGAGAGAAAGAGCATATAATTTTTGCCACATGGTACAGTCTGGCTTTATCCTAGAGATCTTGTTAGAGCCCTTTGGTTGTCTATCAGCTTTTTATAGAGGAAGATTAGTAACCTTAGATTGATATCTTCTGGTCAATAAGTACCTATGTCTTTGTTTTGGGTAGCTTTAAATATGTTTTAACTCTTGATAATAGGAAATTACTTAAATTAATCCATAAGAAAATCTCAGATTTACTATCATTTGACTGAAATAAAAGTATAGAGCACATTTAATCTTTCTTATATTATCAAATTACATTGTCATTACTTAATATATGCTAAACTGATCTTCTGTATATAAAGAGAATTGAAAATGAATCTTGATGTGAATGGAAGGGGAGAGGGAGCAGGAGAGGGGAGGGTTGTGGGTGGGAGGGAAGTTATGGGGGGCGGGAAGCCATTGTAATCCATAAGCTGTACTTTGGAAATTTATATTCATTAAATAAAAGCTAAAAAAATTACATTGTCAAATACTTAAAAAGTACCTAGTAATTAGGTAAATAGTTGTCTTTTCCTCTTTTATTTTAACTGAAATTTTCACTAAGATAATTATAGATTCACATGTAGTTGTTAAGAAATAACACAGATCCCTTGCATGTTGTTCTTGGTTTATCACAATGGTGACACTTTAAAATAAACTAAACTATATGTTAGAACATCTCATCTAGGACATTGGTACAACCCACCTCCCTTATTCAGATTCCTTGTTGTGTATGTGTGGTTGTGTGTGTGTATGTATTAAGTTCTACATTTTGTCAGCTGTGTATGTCCATGTATCTACCACCACAATTAAGGTGGTGAATGATTTCCACTCTCAAGGTTTTCCAACCTTAACCAACAATTAAGGACCGTTTCCAGCCTTACAAAGATTCCCCCTGTTGTTCTTCGATAGCCATGACTCCTCCTTCCAGACTCCCATTTTCCATGGTAGTTGCTGGCATCCACTTATCTGTCTTCAGTTGCTATAATTTTTGTCATTTCAAGAATGTTATATAAGTGACATCCTACAGTGTGTAACTGTTGATATTGGCTTTTTCACTCAGTATGGATTCACTGAGATTACTATGTATATTTTAATTCACTCTTTTGTTTCTGAGAAATATTCCATGTAAGGATATATCATGGTTTGTCTGACTATTCACCTGTTGTCTGACTATTCACCTATTGAATGGCATTTGGGCTAATTCTACTTCCACCTTTTGGAAATAAAGGTATTAGGAATATTTGTGCACTTGCTTTTTATGATGTAAGATTTATTTTCTCTGGGATAAATGCCCAAGAGTGCAACTGCTGGCTGAAATGTTGATTGCATGTTTAATTTTACCTGAAACTATTAAATTCTTTTCCACAGTGACTGTATTATTTTTCATTCCCACCCACAGTATTTGAGTGGC